CCAATCATATCTTGTAAAATCACGGAATGATCTACAAAAATTAGCCAATCGGAATGAAAGCCCGCTATGCTTATATAATTACGTTCAATAGCTTTTTGTTGGACATATGAGAAATTCTAGTGGTACAACTGTCCTACTGAGCCTGAAGTTCAGAAAAAATTTCAATCGTTGCTTTAGACGCGGCTACGTAAAATATGCAATACTGTAGTACATATTTCTATATTATTATAAATTATTTACAATGTGGAAAATTCCTTGCACAACTAATCACCTTTTTTTGTTTCCTCAGGCCTATTTATCAATAGTTCAGGGTCCTAGATAGTATATTCAATAAATAAATAAAAAAGCAACGTAATTTAGTAGGCACACAGGAATACATTTACGAATTTCTGGATATTTTTTGAATGATAGCTATTTTGACGTCTATAAAGTGGTCACGTCATATCTTATAAATTTGAATGATGAATGGTGATATTAAAAGTGAGGCTGAAAATGAACCCGAAAGTGATGTCAAAAGTATTGCAGAAAACGACAAAGATGTCATGTCAAATGGAAAACCTTGTAAGATTTTAATAATAATTAAAAGGGGATTGATACATATACCATTATTTTTATTATTCGTACCCTATGCGTAATTTTCGCTAATCATTGCATCGTATGATGTCGGACTCCAAAATTCAAACTCCACCTTTGATTAGTAAGAATGCTTACTAATCGAAAGCGGTGGTTGAATTTTGGAGCTCCGACATCATACGATGTGATAATTAGCGAAAATTACGCATGAGTGTACGAATAATAAAAATAAAGGTAAGGTATGAATAACAATTTCCTATTTAAAATTTTTATTTTATTATATACTGGATGCTGATTTTTAGTTTTATCACATTAGTAATTGAAAATATAGATCGGTTGAAAGAACATTTGAAAGTTTTATCTATTAATAGCTTTGACCACTCACAATTCAATGAAAACTATATAATTGGATCGGGTGGATCCGCAACCGTTATCAGTGCCTCCCTCGGAGAGCAAAAATACGCATTGAAAAGAATGAATAATAATATTTGTCTTAACGATATAACATTTAATAAATTAGTTCGTGAGGTAATATATCATTGCAACTAGATATTGGTGGGACTATACGTGACGTAGAAACTATATCTGCATGTCCAAAGGTATTTTGGCATCGATTTCATTATGAAACCATCGAAAATATTCAGTCAATTGGCTGAGGAAATCGGCGTGAATTTATCGATTTGCAGTCAGATTTTCAGATGTCCAGGGGCATATGAAAATAGCTATAAATAATGTCAAAATACTTTTGGCATTCTGTAATGGCTTCTACATCATATATAGGGCTATTCGCTGAGTCTTGTCATCATCAAGTATCATTATTATCACTCGTCAGCATTGACACATGTATACATAACGTTGTTATAGATTGAACTTCACAGTAAGGTTAATAATGAAAATATTATTAAGTTTTTTGGTTATTCAATAGGTATGTGGGAATCTAATTATAAAATATGAAAATGCAATAATTTTGATAGATACTCTTTAATTAATAAATTTTAGATTCAAAGGATAATTTTATGTTGGTATTGCAATATGCTGATGACGGAAATCTGAGGGATTACCTAACAAAGAAATATAAAAATGAAAAAGGTCTTTATAAAATTTCATGGACTAGACTCGTCGAAATAGCAACAGAAATTACTTCTGGATTGAACTACTTGCATACTAAAAAAATTGTTCATAGAGATTTGGTGAGCTTAATTATAATTTTCACATTAATTATAAATAGTGTATTGTACTAATTGTTGAATTGCTCTAGCACTCCAAAAATATTTTATTAAATCATGGCAAAGTCTTGATTGCAGACTTTGGAATAGCAAAACGCTTGAATGATACTATGTCTTTAAGCCCAGGTATGGCCTGCATGCCTGCGTATACTGAGCCTCAATATTTTGTACATGGAAATAAGGCTAAAATTGATGAGAAATCCGACATTTATAGTCTTGGTGTGTTATTCTGGGAACTTACAAGTGGAGTTCCTCCATTTAAAACCTTTGAATACGTATGTATAATCTTAATGATTTTTAAAGACAATCGGGAAAAACCCATTGCAAAAACACCTCAGGATTATGTCAGCCTTTACAGCAAATGTTGGTCTTCTGATCCAGTCCAGCGCCCAACACTGAAGAATATTTTAACTGAACTTAGGAGGCTATCTACAGATGAATCTACAAAGTACATAACAAATAATATTATTGACTTTACATCAGACAATCACAATAAAACTTCTCAGCAAGCCATTTCTTCCGAACAAACAAAAACCACCAAACCACAAGACAATGATGTATTCGATAGCCAAGGTCTAAATGGTTATGTAAAACTTCTCTGCAAGCTATTTCCTCCGAACAAACAAAAACTATCAAACCGCATGACAATGATATATTCGATAGTCAAGGTCTAAATGATCACGAAAAAACTACTCTGCAAGCCATTTCCTCCGAACAAACAAAAACTATCAAACCGCATGATAATGATGTATTCGATATTCAAGGTTTAAATGATCACGTTAAAACTTCTGTGCAAGTCATTTCTTCCGAACAAACAAAAACTATCAAACCACAAGACAATGATGTATTCGATAGTCAAAGTCTAAATGATCACGATAAGCAAGCCATTTCTTCTGAACAAACAAAAACTATTAAACCGCAAGACAATGATGTACTCGATATTCAAGGTTTAAATGATCACGATAAAACTTCTCTGCAAGCCATTTCCTCCGAACAAACAAAAACTATCAAACCGCATGACAATGGTGTATTCGATAGTCAAGGTCCAAATGATCCCGATAAAACTTCTTTGCAAGCAATTTCTTCCGAACAAACAAAAACTATCAAACCGCAAGAAAATTATGTATTCGATAGTCAAGGTCTAAATTATAATCAGCTGCTTGATCTACGTCTAAGTGACAGTGATAACAAAAAGATAATAAATGAGATTAAAAGCAATTCAATAAAAATCTTTAATTATTCTGAATTTAGTAATCGTGAAATGATTGGAGCTGGATCATCTGCAAAAGTGTTTTCGGCAGTTTTTCAAGGAAAAATGCGTGCATTAAAGTATTTGAACAAAATTTGCTTAGATAACTATAAAGGTATCAAAGCAATGATCCGTGAGGTAATGAATTTTTCTATTTACTTTGTGTTAACCAATATTCAAACTAATAATTTTGAATTAAATAGTTTAAGATTCTTCGTAAAACTAATCATTCAAATATCATCGAATTCTATGGGATTTTTAGAGGTATTAAAATTTCCACTTGAACAGGATTTATATTTAAATAATAATCTATCTTTTTTCTTCTTAGATCCCAAAACATGTGAATTTGTGATGGTGTTGCAATTGGCAGAAAATGGAAACCTACGTACATATTTAAAAGGAAAACAATTAGATGGAATTTTCAAAATCTCATATTATGATGTAATTCAGCTTGCAAAGGATATAGCCCGCGGTTTATAATATTTACATTCTATTGAAATTGTTCATCGAGATCTGGTAAATTTTATTATTAAATAGTAATTTATTTTAAAAAAAAAATTTACTAATCTATTTTTAAATATTTTAGCATTCAAAAAATATACTTATAGATCACAATAAAAGAGCCCTTATCGCCGATTTTGGATTATCAAAGCTATTAAATGATTCTACTACTAATGAAAGTTCGATTATAGGCGGCATGATAGCATACCTTGAACCACAATTTTTAAATGATTGTAAGAAAAAACCTGATAAAAAATCTGATATATATAGCTTAGGAGTATTGATGTGGGAACTCACAAGTGGTGTTCCTCCATTCTTGAACATTAATCAATTCGTTTTAATGGATCGTATTAAGGCTGGTGACCGAGAAAAAATTATTCCTAATACACCGAAAAATTATACAGACCTTTTCACAAAATGCTGGTCTTTTAAACCAGATCAACGTCCAGTTATAAGCAAAGTTTTAGAAGCTTTAGATTTTATTGAAATTTCAAAATCAACTATCGGATCTGATTTGATTTCAAATTATATTGGAGATTCTCGACACAACAAAGTTAGTGTAGAGAATAAGGATTCATACTTGAGTTCTTATCAATCAAGTGAAACATTGATCACAAGTTATAATGGTACCGTTTATCCGCCAAAAGGGCATTTATTCGATGACTTATGGAGAATTTTTTTCGATTCAACGAGCCGTGGAATTGAATTTTCACAAATTTCAAAAATGTTAGCAGACTATATCGTTAAATGTAATCAAACAGAAAAAACCGTATTTACTGATCTTAATCAACGCCAGACTCTCGATTCAAATTTGCAATGTCTTTTTGGATTTAGTTATTTTATGGGAATTGGTACTGAACCATATAATAACTCTGCATTCAATATGTTTGAAAAGTCAGCACATTGAGGTAACGTGATGGGATGTTTTACCTTGGTGAATGCTATAGATATGGCTATGGAACCGCAAAAGATCCAAAACAAGCTTTAACATGGTATCAAAAATCCAAGAAAGAATGTTCAAGATCCGTTAATGCTTTAGGACTTTGTTACTTGAACGGAATAGGTGTTAAGAAAAATAAAAAAGTAGCGTTTAGATATTTTAACGAATCATATAAGACTGGATGTATTTCTGCATGCAATAGTTTAGGAACTTGTTACGAACGAGGGATAGGAATTAAAAAAATAAAAAGCAGGCATTCGAATATTATGAAAAAGCTGCCAATTGCAATATTCCACTTGGACAATTTAATGTTGCAAGATGTTATAATAAAGGGATAGGGTGACAAAGGATATAAAAGAGGCAGTGAGTTGGTATAAAAAGGCGGCAGATAATGGACATGAGTATTCTAGAAAAAAATTAAATCCAAGACAAATACTGAAACATTTATCTTTATTCAATTGGGTAATTATATTTTGATGGATGATTTTATGTTGCGCAGCATAGTATATCCAATTTAGCTTTACTCAGCACAGCATTATTTGATAGTTAATGGCAATTTTAATAAATTACCAGACTTAGAATATTTCATCTTGGTTGCAATTATTATTCTTTTTTCTTATATAGAAACAATATAATAAAATTTTTTAGCAATACAGTATATATTGTATAAAAATTAGTTAATAAAAAAATAATTTATAGATTTTTTTTAATTAAAAGCAAGTATATACTTTAAAGTTAAAATATCAATATATTTAATAAAATATTTAAAAATATTTATTTTTTAAATGCCATATATACTATTTTATAAATCTAATTGTCAATTCTTGCTAATTTATGTCAATTGTCAATTCTTGCTAATTTATATCAATTGACGTTATACTATATTTTGATGAAATGGATATTATTCTCAAACTATCAGTTGTGTAATTTGAATCCAAAAGCGTAAACATTACTTGTTCTTCTGTAAAACCCGCACAGATTAACATCAGTCTAACCAGAGTAAATCATTATATGTATCGTTCAGCCTTTTGATTCTTTTTGTGTATGATCGTAAGTCAGTATTGGTTATGTTTTAAAGAGAAAAGGCTATGTGATTAGATACCAAAAATTGATAATACAGTGCCTTAGAACAGAGATATAACTTGTATCACAAATTTAAATAAATTAGGAAAAACTAAGCTATATATGTATAAATACAGGTTTATTTGCAGCTGACGAAAATTCATCCAATTAAAGACACAAACCACTTAATACATCACATAATCATTAGGGTAGCTGCGCGACGCGGTGGTGTCGCGCCAAAACCAGGAACGCACTACGGATTGGTTTTGAAAATTATTAT